AGTGAGTTAATTTTCTATCCACTCACTGGTTTGTTTTTAAGAATTCATGCTTAGGAAATAATTGAGATGCTTAAAAATATAAGAATGCTCATCTCAACGTTATTTCCAGTTGGAATGTCTGTGATACTGAAACCAAACCCACTCTGGGGAGCCTCCATCACTTTTCCGAGACTGTGAACTTCAGTGAGAGCAAACTCTTGTCTTTTTCCCACAGAGCTGCTAGTGGATTCGAACCACTGATCTCTCTGGTAGCAGCCTAACATGTAACTCACTCTGACCTAGTTTACCAAACATGATGTCCATATCCAGGAACTGGACCCTCATAATATCCCCGAAGTATGTAAATCCTTGCTTCTAAGGAGTGCTCTGGCCCTACTACTTAAGGCAGATTTGGCATTCCTTGAGAGATTCATTACTTTTTGCCAACACCATAATTCAAAGACATCAGTACTTCGTTATTCTTCATTCATTGTCCAGCTTTCATGTATATATGAAGGTACTGAAAATAAGATTAATATGTTGTTGTTGTTATGTGCTGTCGAGTCGCTTGCAAGTCTTAGCAAAACTATTTACAGGAGCCCTAAACCCTGCTCTGTCCTGTGCCAACCTCATTGTTTCTGACACACCGGCTCCGACTACACTAGTCACTGAATTGATCCATCTCATAGAGAGTCTTCCTCTCCTGTGCTGCCCCTCCACTCTCCCAAACATGATGTCCCTCTGCAAGGACCAGTCCCTCCTTGCAACATGCTCAAAGTATGTGAGACGAAGCTTTAGAATCCTTGGCTCCAAGGAGAAGTCCAGCTTAACCCTCTCCAGGACAAACCTGTTTGTTTTCCTGGCAGTCCATGGTATATTCAACACTCTTCTCCAGCACCACAGCTCAAAGGCATCAATTCTCTTTTTATCATCCCTAGTCACTGTCTAGCTCTCCAATGCATAGCTCGCAACTGTGAAGACTATAGCCTGGATCAGGCACACCTTAGTCTACAGCCTCATGTCATTGCTCTTTAGTACTCTGGAGAGGTCCCTGACAATATATAGTGGCTGAAAATCAGAGAAGTTTATGGTTGTATATATTTACCAACATAATCAGGAAAATGTTAAACTATTTCTGAGTGTATTATGATAAATAAATACTGCATAGCATTGATTATTTCTAAGAAATAAGTATTAAGTAAAGTACTTATAAACAGAAACACGTAAAATGGTTATGTAGTGATTACTCAAGAAATTGTAACTCAAAGCTTGCAGGAACTTAAGCCTTTTATTTTTTTTTTTTACCTAGGGACAGTGACTTCAGTGTTCATGGATGCAGTATTCATGGTGACATTATGGAACATAAAATGACTGTGTAGTACTAGTGAACGAGAGTGTGTGTGTGAAGAGAGAGAAAATGAATACTTGAATGAGTAATTAATTTGAAATGTTTCTTAAGCTGAGTTCCCTAGAGAAGTAAAACCAATAAAGTTTATGTATATATAAAGGGTGAAAAGAGCATGAATGCTTGAATGAATATATATAAATAATTTGAAAGATGTCTTAGGCTGGCTGTTTTAGAGAAATAAATCCAATGGAGCTTATATACAGACAGAGAGAACAGGTTGATGTGTCTTGAGGAAATGGCTCCCATGCCTGTAGAGGCAAGTTCCAAGTCTAAAAGACTGAACACGTAGTTAATGCAGGTCACAACCCTGGAGGAGACTTCCCCTTAATCAGATCAATGTCAAGCAGATCATGTCTTTACAGAAGTTTCTAATCCAGCCTCATTGACATCTCAGAGGTTAAAATTTACAACGTGTAGGATAGTTACATTATACTGAAAATCATGTCCATGTTGACACACGGTACTTATTAAGCATCACAGAAGGGTATGTCCCAAGATACTAGAGTCAACAGGGATTAGTATGATAATAGGGAACTCTTGTGGCCTAGTGCCAAGAAGCTGCTCAGCAATTCCGAAGGCATGAGGTTCAAGGCCACCAGCTGTTCTGCAGGAGGATAGGCAGTTTCCTCCCATGTGATTAACTGCCCTTGAAAACCCACCAGAGGGTCAGCTGTGGGTCGGTCTGACTCCATGGTACACAACAGCAATATGATAGTAGGGAGCTCTGGTGGCCTAGTGGTAAGGAGCTGTGCTGACAACTGGAAGGCATGCAGTTCAAATCCACCAGTTGCTCCAAGGGAGAAAGATGGGGAGTTTCTTCCCATGCGATTAATGGCCTCTGAAAACCTGCTGGAGGATCAGCTGTGGGTCGGTTCTGACTCATTTGCACACAACAACAATATGATTATGAGTCTTCTTTATTTTTCAGACTTTTGAAAAAGTATTTTCCGGGTTTTCAGTAATGAACACATAACCAGAGAAAGTATTGCATAAACAAAAACAGGGTAAGAGCTTGTTCAGAGTGTTTGCATTAGATCAGCGTTTATGTAGTTTGAATGATGCCAGTTTTGAGTGGTAGAAGCAAACTGGCCTTAACTTGTCTGTCAGGTTTAGATCATAATCCACTGGAAGACCTGAGGGGAAGGATTACACAATCCCTTCACTCACAACAGCAGCATCTTGCATTTGGACTTTGTTAATTGACTTAGCAATGGTGCGTACTCTGGCGTGAACATTAAATTCACATCCTTATGCTTGGATTTTGGTAAAAGAAAATGCAGAGTTTCTTAATCAGAACTGTGATTTTGTCATATAGTATCACGTATTGTGTTAATAAGACTTTTGCTTTCAGAAAAGGATAATCATAACTCATTGGCATGAAAGAGATTTTAAAAATACACCTTAAACACAATTATTTTGTTTTGCATGAATAAGAAGAACCTGAACATTTGGAGCCAAACTGCGCCAAGTGCCAGGAGTACATAGTGTTCTGATTGAGAGCAAAACATGGAACTTATAAGGTCTTTTTGTTGAGATGTTGAAGCACTTTGGTAGAATTATCTCTCATAGAGAATATTTAAACTTGATAGTTTAGCAGCTGATCTCTTATTGTTAAAGTTTATTAATCACATTGTTAGTTAGTGTAGGTTTTTAAAACATTAGGGATATAACCATCACTCATTCATTGTCTTCAAGTTTGAATCAACTCATAGCTGACCCTGAATTTCAGGGCTGTAAACTGTATGGAGGAGATTGCCCGTCTTTGTCCTACGGAGCTGCTGCTGGTTTTGAACTGCCTGAGAGGCATCTTCACCTTTGATTAGCAGCCCAACTCCCTACAGACTGCCACTATAGCGTGTGTTTTTTTAATTAATTTAATTTTAATGAACATTTACAGGGATTTTGGATTTCCATTCATTCATTATTGCACTTTTCTCCCTGCACACCCCTCCACCACAGCTTCTTCTGTGCCATAACTTTACAAAACCACAAACCCACAGACATAAAGTTGATTCTGGCACGTGGTGGCCTTGTGGGGCAGAGCGGAACTGTCCCATGGAGTTTCCAACCACGTCCATCCTTACAGAAGGGGAGTACCTGGTGGGTGTGGACCACCCGTCATTTCAGTTAGCAGCCACACTCTAGAACCACTGCACCACATCTTCAACCACTTCATTTTAACCAGATTAGGTGTAGAATGCCAGCATAAGCTAACGAGAAGATAGAGGATAGCACCTCAAATGAAAATTACCAAGGAATTAGGAACAGAAGCTGCAGAGAGACAAGGACCTTCCCTAAAGGCAAGACAGATTGTGGACCATTGGAAGATCCCCCAGGAGCAGAACTTTAAAAGACTGAAAACCTTTTCTTCGAGCTGGCATCCACAATTTGAACTTCTGACCTTTCATGAGGAAAGACTTTCTGTTTGTTAAAGCCACCCACTTGTGGTATTTCTATTACAGCAACACTGGATAACTGAGATGGGCTGTTTCTTTGTTTATTTTTGACAGTGTCTTATGTATTATGGAGACCAGCTCCGTGTTTGTGATGTGAATCGCATCTATCTTTTCAGTCTTCCTTATCTTGCCAGTCTGTCTTTTGTCTTTGGTGTCTTGTTTTTGTTTTAATGAACATCTTGAATGTGCCTGTGTGTAGTTCAGTTTATCAGTCATTTTTTGAAAGGCCTTCTACTCTGAACTTATTTTAAACATCTTCTGTTTTTCCTAGTGTTTTAATAAGCTTTAAAAAAGTATGTTAAATATTGCATCCATAGACCTGGTTTGGTGCAGAGTGGTAGATACTAGTTCTTGCTGGTTACTGATTCATAATGATCCCGTGAGAACTGTACTCGTGGGGTATTCACAGTGGGCTCTTTCAGAAGCAGATTGCCAGCGCTGTCTTTGGAGGCACCCCTGAGTGAGTTCAAATCACCTATAGGTAGTTATTTTCATGAAAATACAGTATATGTTCGTATGTGTGTGTGTGTATATGTATACACACACACACACACACATCCCATGTATTACTTGGAATGTTTATATGTGATTATATTACATTATATGTTGTTGTGTACTGTTAAGTTGGAACCAACTCTTAGCTGATCCTCCTGTGTGTTTTCAGAGGCAGTAAATTGTGTAAGAAAAGATTGTCTTTCTCCTTCAAAGCAGCTCGTGGATTTGAACCACGGACCTTTGGGTTGGCCATGCAACTCCTCACCACTAAGCCACCAGTGTTCACTATTTCATTATATATGAAGTGATTTTTTTCTAACTTTGTCTTTGAATTCTGATAGTCCATAAAGCTATACGTCAGTCTTTTTAGCTTCTACATGAGTTCCCTGTTAACAATCTATAATAATTTACAATGGTCACCCTGTTATTACACATGTGGTTTATTTACAACTTGTCCCTGAATCTGTCAAAACTGTATGTATAGTTTATACTTGTAAAGAGCGTTGTGCTCTCTCTCATTTGTGATAATCTTAAGTCTAAAATGTTAATTTGTCTGAGAAGTTAGTATTTTTTAGAACACTATTATCATAGAGGTCACAGGAACATCTGGACAGCTTTGAGGAACCTGTTACTAATGCTTTGTTATGATCTTATCTTTCTAGATCAAATTTGATGCTGGGACCCTTCTTCTTAGTACACATCGACTGATTTGGAGAGATCAGAGGAATCATGTAAGCCAAGTCTTTGCGTCTGTTCTTGGTTTTAAATTACTGATGTGTTCCCCCTCCCCTTTATAGCATAACTGTAAATTGATGTAGTAAGTGTGTTTTCAGATTGTGAAGAGTGTATATTTCATATGACCTTTCCCAGTAGAGAGCAGGGAGAGGCGTTAGGGTGTCGTGTAACATAGGTGGATGGCATGCTGGTGGAAGATGTAGGGTGTTGTCCCTCATTTGGGGACAAGCACATGTCTTCAGTAAGGTCATTATGACTTTGTTTTGTAATCACAAGTCAAACCTACTCTATATCTCAATATTCCACTTGTAACAAGAATAATTCTTCCATTATTTATGTTGTTGTTGTTAATATGCCGTCAAGTTGCCTGCAACTCATAGCAACCCTGTGTACAGTAGTTCTAAACTCTGCCCTATCCTGAGCCAGTCTTGCTATCTCCAATACACCTGCCCCCTTTACCCCAGTTACTGAGTCAAGACCATTCAGTTTATAGGGTCACTGTAAGTTGGAATCAACTTGACAGCAGTAGGTTTAGGTTTTTGATTATATCATACTCTGGTGAATACTCAAAACCCAAGGATTTTGGACAAGCCTTATGAATCTTGTTTTCTATCAATTTCCTCCTAGGAATGCTGCATGGCCATTCCTCTTTCTCAAATTGTGTTCATTGAAGAGCAGGCAGCTGGAATTGGGAAGAGGTAGGTCTGCTGATTATAATCTGTGCCAACTAAAAGATGTTTCTAGGCAAGCCATCATCTTTCACTTAAGCTGCGCTATTGCTGTGCTGTTGTATTGCTCTTACCGGTCAAGTCAGAACTGATGCCATAGCCAACCTTCAGCCAGGTTTTTTTCTGAGTCAGTAAATCACATGAAAAGAGATTGCCCATTCTTCTTCCATAGAACAGCTGGTGGATTTGAACCATGCACCTTTGGTGTGGCTGCGCAGCTTCTTACCACTAGAGCACCAGGAGCTCCCTTTTAGCATCTGTAGGCTCAGCATTCTTTGGAGACCTCGTGTGTCTTGGCATCAGTCTTCTGAATTGAGGAGGTTCACCACTCAGGTCCAAGGACACAGCCATTCTGAGATCCTTCTCTGCTCACTTCTCTCTCCTTTTATTTCTCATGAGACAAAGATGACGCAAGGCACGCTGCAGGGCAGCTCCTCTTACATTGGCTTAGGACTGGGATCTCATTAAGGGTTTGTATCTGAGTTTAATCCCCTTACTGCTGATTGGCTGGCCACATTACTTCATGGGGATGATTAATCATTATGTATCTGCTTTTAATTCGGCCTTGTTGCTTTACTTAATGATTTATTTCAAACAGTCCTATGCTTCTCTTGCAGAGTTTATGCATCTCTCTTAATGATGTCCACCATAAAGAAGCAAACGAAGTAGTCTTATGTGACTTCTTTACACCAAGAATGTTCAAAACATATGGTTTTAATTTTACACTGATATTTGGGCACACATAGGGGCCTACACAAAGAAAGTTAAAATTGAGTAATGGCATATCTATAATGTAATCATAAAAAAGTGTGCTCTTAGTTGTATCCAATTTTTTTTTTATTTTTTAAAATTTTATTATTTTGTGTGTGTGTGTACCATCAAATCAGATCTGACTGGTATAGGAGGAGATTGCCCCGCCTTCTCCAGCAGAGCATCTGGTGGATTCGAACCACATACCTCGGGGATTGCAGTGCAGCTTCTTGCCACTAGGCTACCAGGGCTCTCTTGTATCCAAAATATTTTTACTTCATGAGTTGTTTTGGTTTGATTTATGATGAACATGTTGGGGAATAGGGTGAGGGAGGTAGGAAAACAGATTTATAAAGCCAAACAAATAAAGTAGTATTTTTCAAAGTATAGAAGTTAACGGGGCTCATAAAGGGAATGATAGTTTGTGTTCCTAAAGTAAAAACAATTTTGGGAATTGTTTTTATTCATGGATATCTTTTTAGATCGTGCTGCTAATTGAATGACATTTTCCAACAAATGACACTTAGAATGTTGGTTTTGGATGGAGTTTTAGTGAAATGTCAGCTGGCCAGTTTTAGATAAATAAATTTTGACATTTTGTTTTCAAATGAGTCAGATAGTATTCTTTGGCAGAAATGATAAGCCCCCCTTGGAACCTCTAGGAATTTACTCTGTGGATGGAAACCCCTAATTATCATACTATGCTGAGAATGTATTTTGAACTTATATTCTAAAACCAGGCACATAACAACAACCTATTCTAAAACCATAGTATATTTGATAGAGCTAATAATTGAAATATTTTTTATTTATAGTGAGTTTAAATAGAAATCTTTAAGAAGTTGAAAATTATTAAAATTTTAAAAAAGATGGTTTTGAGACGCTCTAGTGGCCTAGTTGTGCTGCTTACCCAAAAAGACTACTTCTTGCTGGAGGTTCGAATCCACCAGCTGCTACACAGAAGAAAGATGGGCAGTCTCCTGTGTGATTAACAGGTCAGCTGTGGTTCAGTCCTGACTCGGTTGTTCTCAGCAACATCACCAACCCGTGTTGTTTATAGCCTCACAAACCCAGAGGGTCAGCTATGACCTGCTTCCAACCTGATGGCTGTAAAATTGAGCTTGAGTTTTATATGAATTTTGAAAATGACCTGAAATACATTAAAATTTATAAAAAGAGAATGAATATTTTTTTTAAAAAGGCAATTAAATGTATTGTATTTGGTCTTTGTTTAGTGCCAAAATAGTGGTACATCTCCATCCAGCACCTGCTAATAAGGAACCTGGTCCCTTCCAGAGCAGTAAGAATTCTTACATCAAACTCTCCTTCAAAGAACATGGTCAGATTGAGGTGAGTTTCTGCTGCAGTAAAATTGAACTAGAAGATTGTACGTGTGCGTTTGTGGTGTTGTCGCTTCTTAATATAGTGGAATCATATAATATGCTGGGTTTCGCCATATTATCCCAAGAGAATTGTTACACTGTGTCTTAGCTTCGAGGAACAAAAATGAATAGACATCGGTATAGAAGCTCTGATGGCCTAGTGGTAAGAAGCTGCACTGCAGTCCCAAAGGCATGTGGTTCAAATCCACCAGCTGCTTTGCTGGAGAAGTATGGGCAGTCTCCTCTTGGGTGATTAACTGACTCTGAAAACCCACCAGAGTGTCACCTGTGGAGCAGTTTTTGACTCCATGATATACAACAATTTATGTATAATATATGAGGTAAAAGACACCACTTCTATGCTAATTTTTTCTTTAATGTTTGAAGATTTTTAAGACGTAAGTGTTCTTAAGTGTGTTTCTTGTTGTTTTTGTTAAGTGCCGTCGAGTTGTAGAGGACTAACAGCGACGCTATGAGCGAAAGACCTGAATGCTTGTACAGCTTTCATCCTTTTTCCACGTTCATAGTTTTTGGAGGCAAGCTGTTTCAGAAGTGGATTCCATTCCTGCTTCCAAGCTTGTTTTAATCAGGGAGCTCCAACAAACACTGTCCACCCTGGGTGACCATTATCTCATTTGACACATCAATGTCAGTGTTCAGCTTCACAGCAACCACGAGTTACCTCTATACAGCAAATGCACAACCAGTGCTGTATGACTTAGAAGAATGTTTCACCAAAAACAATTAAAACCAGGTCTGAGGGCCGCAGATTAAAATCTCCCACTTTTGACTAGTTAGCATCACTTTCTATTCACTAGATCAACCGATCTCTCTCTATGTTGGTGTTGTTAAATGCCGTCGAGTCGAAGTATGTTTATCTTTTCATAAATTTCACAAATTATTTTTGCTTTTTTTTCTCTGTAGCTCCTTGCCCAGTATTCCTCACACAGGAGCACTGAGCAAATAGAAGTCATTCTTGAATTCTGAAATCATTCCTGAACTGGAGGGAAATAGGTTTGGATTTCCGTGAGTGTAGGCAGGTTTGAGCCTTTATATCAGACTCCCAATTTTAAGTAAACAAACTGTTCTTGACTTCCTTCCTCCTGGAATGAATAAACTATACCATGTTTATTCCACTATAGAATGAAAACAATCCACACAGGCAGAATTGTTTAAGATCAGTCTGTTTAGTTCATTGTCACTTAGCCTATTTGTTTAGCTCACTTTAAATGGAAGGCCGGCTTCTTCCTTTTTTTTTCTCTCTCCTGCGTGCTGAGTGTAAGCCAAGAAAAGAACTTCCTCGGATTCCTTTTGTTGTGTCTGAGAATCCTAGACTTGCTTCATCTGACTGAACATAGACCTTTGAACTAAAGAAATGTAATGATTTATGTGAGGATGCCACATCCTGACTCATTTCATGTGAATGTGTATGCATAACAGTTTTACAGACGCTTGTCAGAGGAAATGACACAGAGAAGATGGGAGAATATGCCCGTTTCCCAGTCATTCCAAGCAAATAGAGGACCCCAGGTATTTTTTTTTATTACTGCTTGTTCATACTGTATTTTCAACTCCATGCTTTCTTTTACATTTTCATTAAGATAAAAAGACTCTGCACATCCAAAAACTTCTCCAACAGGGTAAAAAGGGAAGCCACAGACTGGGAAAAAGTATTTGGGAATGACATGTCAGATAAGGGACTTATATCTAGAATTTATAAAATACTTGAGCACCACAACAAGATAAAGGTAAATAATCCAATAGAAAAATGGGCACAGGATATGAACAGACACTTCACCAAAGAAGACATTCAGATGGCCAGCAAGCTCATGAAATGTTCGAAATCCCTAGCTCTCAGAGAGATGCAAATCAAAACAACTATGAGATATCATCTCACCCCAGTCAGAATAGCAGAATTTAACAGAACAGCAAGCAACAAATGCTGGCAAGGTTGTGGAGAAACTGGAACCCTTATTCACTGTTGGTGGGAGTGTAAAATGGTGCAACCACTGTGGAAGGCGGTGTGGCGCTTTCTCAAAAAGTTGCAAATAGAGATACCATTTGACCCAGCAATTCCACTACTGGGAATATACCCCAAGAGACCATAACTGACATCCAAGCAGATAGAGGCACACCCATGTTTATCAGGGCTTTGTTCACAATAGCAAGGAGTTGGAAACAACCCAGGTGCCCATCAACAAACGAATGGATAGAGAAGCTGTGGTCTACTCACACAATGGAATACTATGCTGCATTGAAAAACAAGGAACTCATGCAATATTATTCAAAATGGGTGAGCCTGGAGGGCATTATGCTGATTGAAATATCTTAGTCACAAAAGGACAAATACTGCATGGTGCCACTGCTGTAGAATGAGGCTGTCATCGGGTTGGGGGTAAGACTGAGAAAAACTGGATAAATTGTATATTCTGCATTGAAACAGATGAGGGAGACAATAATTTAAAAATGATGTATGGTAGGGTATTATGGTTATCACAAGAGTCCACAATTAAGGTTGCATAGTGGAATGTACTTGGGGCGGTGGGGGGGACTGTGTACCAGGGACGGAGTTTTTCTTTTACTTTTCAAAGAGAGGAGTGAACTAGTGGAGGGGGGGCAGTGCGCTGGGCTGGGCGGGGAGAGAAGTGCAGCAATGAATGAATGGAAATCCAACACCTCTGTAAATGTACATTAAAATTATTAAAATAAAATAATTAAAAAAAGACTTTGGTTATAGAATTTGCTAGAAATAAAATAAAATAATATCCTAGCTGGAGATTTCTTTTCCAGCATCTAACTTAGTTCTCTAGGCAATTGGTGGTAAACATAAATGGTTCCTTATCAGAATAGAAGATTCTGATAGAAAATTACACTAATTGTGTTCTTCATAATTAAAGTAGCATCTTAAGGAACAGAGCCTGTCTCTGGACAATGATTTTTAGGTCTTAATTAATTATGAGCAGGAGTGCACATGTGCAAATGAACATGTATATTGTCAAATACCAAATTTTAAATGCTAGATTTTACCCATTTGGGACCCTATTAAAAATCTGGTAAGTGATAGCTTGCTAAGTAGCAACAATTAATAGACATCTAATTTATATCTAAAATAAGAGATGTGCTACTTATTGTATGTTAATTTTTTTTTCTTTAATGGCTTAAAGACCATTCTGTAAGAAATGTTTTGAAAGGAAGTCAGATGTAATTGTGTGCTGTTTTTCTTTGTTTTCTGTAGGTCCTTTCCCACCATTGAAAACCCACTGTGGTGGACTACAAAGGATTTTGTTTCCTTTTTTTTTTAACTTTCTGCTTTTATTTTTCAGCCAGGAAGAATAAGGGCTGTAGGAATTGTAGGCATTGAAAGGAAACTAGAAGAAAAAAGAAAAGAAACTGACAAAAATATTTCTGAGGTAACTCTTAACACAAGTCCTGGTCCACCATCTTTGTGGCCAGTGTGTTTGTTCTTTTTGATGTAGCTGTGACTGATATCATTCTGTAATTCAGAATAGATTTAATTAGCCTGAAGGTGCATGGTCTCCAGCTCCATTTTATCATTCTCTTCTACCTTAATTTAATCACAGTCTTTTCTACAAAGCTTTTTTTAAAAGAAAAATAAGGCAAAGTTGTTTTCTGTAGTGGCAGAAAAAAAACATTGTATGTGAATTTCAGGTGTACATGGAATTTATTCAGAAAAGACTCCGTGAGTTCAAAATCCTCTACATAATTATTTGGAAATTTTGGCTCTAAATAAGGTGATTTTTAAAAAAAAAAACCAAAACCAAAAAATCCCGCTACTCTTTGATTATTAACACTGGTCAGATACCATAGAATTTTATACTGATGATCATTTGGGAACCAGACAAAAGAGACAATATGAATGGCCCAGCCTACCACTTCTACTCTGAGAACAATCCTGAGTACAGATAGACTTTACAATGTTTCTGAAGTTTGATCATATATGAGAAAACGGAAATTGAGGGAAAAGAAATATAGTTAAGAAAGCCTCTTATGAGTTGGGTCCTAAGCATATCATTGGGTTTTCCATGTTTAAATGAAAATAGTTTGACATTTTTATAAAATGATGTTATGGAGTAATTCTTCAGCTTGTGATAATAGTTTGTAAGTAAAATTTCATTGATGAGTGCAGTTCAGAGACGTTGAAAAAAATCTGTATCAACCAAATAAATTGCAAGTAATTATTATGAGCATACTATTTTAGAGTAAAGACAGTGCTTTGAGGAACCTCAAAGTCATTTCACTTATTAAGTGCATGGTCCAGGTTTTACTGATTACACTCAGGCTATACTTGTACATGGCACTCAGCCCTGGGTGTTTCCCATAAATTAGCTGCAGAGTCCAGAGACATCAGATTTATGTTTGATCTCTGGGAAAACTCTTCATGTTAATTTATATTTAATCAATTAGGTAAAAGCACAAAGTTAGTTTCAAAGCACTGTAAAAAGTATGTGCATATATATTTTGAATTACATATTGTTAAATTTATATACCATATGTACCTAAAGTTTACTACAGTCTTAAATGTTACATGTCTTTCTTTTTCTTTGTAGTTTTATACCCCAAGCATACAACTTTAAACATAATAGTTTAAATTTACCCTTTTAAAAAAAAAATGTGGGAGTGAAGAGAGCCTATCAGCTCCTTTCACCCTCCAGCCTCAATACCTCTCCCACCCTCAGCTTCACTCAGAAATCTCTCCTTTTTAGGACTTTTTAATATGTCTTGTAAGTTTTGTGTTTCAGGTTTGTTTTAACATATAGATTCTTTTCTTTTTTTTTTTTTGTTTTTCTTAAAAATTATCTTCTGAATAGCCCAGAGCATTTGAGCCCAGAAAGTGCTCCTGGGTTAGGTTTTCCTGATTCCAGTTGCACCTGGAATCTTTTGCCTCCTTATTTCCAAGAGCTGCAATTAACAAAATCCTCCCGTGTGGAAAACTTTAAAAAACAGAAATTTGTTGTCTCACAGTTTTGGAAAGTAAAAGTCCAAATTAAAGTACTGGCTATTTATATTTCTTTAGAAGACTGTCAGAGAGAAACTATTCCATTATCTGTCCTGACTTCTGCATTCAGTCTTCACATGGTGTCTTCACCATGCCCGTGTCTCTGTATTTTTGGTAGAAGACTCCATCCAGATGGGATTAAGACTCTCCCACAACAATAGGGCCTCGTGTAAACGTCACCAACAGCATCATCAGAGAGAGATCCTTCTCCCAGACAGTGTCACGTTCACAAGGGGTATTCTGGGGGTATAAAATTCAATTGTAACACGCAGCGCTCTGTATTTCCTACAAATTGGAAGCTCGAAGCAAAGGCTTCATCAGGTTTATGTTTAATCAACCCTTTGCAGCAGGAACTAGAGGGGGTTTTTTTAGTGGACAAGTTTTATTTTTTAAATTTAACACACACCTGATGAGCTCAAACTGACTTTTCATACGCTTCTTATGCAGTGAGTTGAAACCTCGCCTATATTTAATAAGGAACTCTGGTGGTGTAGTGGCTAAGAGCTAACCTGTCTGCTCCCAGAAGGTCTGAGTCAAACAAACCAGCCACTCTGCAGAGAATGGATGCAGGGTTGCCTTCCATCGTGATTAACAAATTTGGAAATCCTTCTGGCAGTTCTGGGCAGGGCTGTAAAACTCACCTCTTAGCCTTACCTTGGAACCTTTTGGTCATTTTGGATGCCTGAAGCTTGTTCTCGAGTACATTTTTGAGAACGTGCTCAAGGGAAGAATTATTCTGGAGCTCTGACATTGACAGGTTTGTGTTTCTTTACATGAAACTCAGTTTTTGCTGCATTTAGAATCCTTGACCAAATCTTTCCCGCCACCCCTCACTGCCTCTTTGGCATCAGGTGGTCCTCTTAGAGGGTGCTGATCCCATTTTCCCCTCAGACTTTATGTTTTTATTTAGGTTCCCAAAGGATTCCCCCCCACACACACGCTTTTTTTTTTCTTTAAAGGTCAATAATTTTAGCAGAATGTGTTTGTAAGTTATTCTGGGTGTTATTCTTAGGTACATACTGTCCGTCTTCAATACATTGTTTTTAAAAGGATTTTTAAAAAATTTAGGGGAATTTTTCTGTATTATAATTTTCAATAATTCCTTTGGTTTTCATTTTCTTACTAGCTGTATTTTGCAGCTTTGCCTGTCTTTTCTATTTGTGACTGCCTTGAAATCTTTTTTACTTGACATTTTCTTGATAATATTTCCCTCTTTTTCATGATCTGTTTCTCATTGTTCCTTTTTCACTTGTATTCTGTCTAGTATCGTCTTTATTTCAGAAATGATTTTTTTCCCTTTCTTTTAAGATTCTTTCATGAATTCTGTCACCTGACTTGTTATTTATATTTACCTTTTATGTATACTCTATGAACTTGGAGAAATGATAATAGTTACAGAAAGGCTTCAGGCCTTTTGTTATATGTGTATACATACACACACACGCATATCTACATACATCACACCCTTGTATTTAAAAGTTGGTTGGGTTCGAGTGTCTAGTGTTATTTTATTTTGAAGGAACTTTTTTTTTTTAAATTTTTTTTGTGTGTGTGCGTGTACCGTCAAATCAGATCTGACTTGGTACAGGAGGAGATTGTCCCTCCTTCCCCGGCAGAGCATCTGGTGGATTTGAACCTTGCGCCTCTAGGATTGTAGTTGCAGCTCCTTGCCACTAAGCCACCAGAGCTTCCCTGAAGGAACATTCTTCTCAGTTGTACATCACTCCTCTGTTAATTTGTTGCACTGAGGTAATCTGGGTTTGCTGTAATGCTGAACCTTGCGCCATTGTGGGTCAAATGCCATAATGACTGCACATGGTGGACAGTGTTTGGTGAAGTTCCCAGTTTAAGACAGGTTTGGAAGCAGGAGTGATATCCACTTCCTAAACCATATTCCTCTGGAAACTCCATGAATTTGGAGAAACAACGATAGTTACAGAAGAGCTTTAGGCCTTTTGTTCATAGGGTCACTGTGAGTAGTACTCAACTCGATGACAGTCATCATCAACAGCAACATCATATTCTTAACATAGAAATAACATTTCTGTGTTAAGACCAGGAAAGTCTGATCTGATCTGTGCGATGTCCTCATTGTGTACTTTATAGTGGGTAGCTTATTGCCTCCCATAGGAACTTTGTGATGCTTTGCTGTTGCTATTCTGTGAAATGAGTTTTCTTAAACGTAGAGGTCTCGTTCAGAATAGTTTTGCTTACTTACAAGGCTCTCAAGCTGTGTTATAAAAAGGGAAAAGATGGGAAGTGTCATTCTGTTGTTCCTAACTCTTTTCCTATCCTCCATTTCCCCCTGATTCTTCTTTTTCCTTTTTTAAAAGTATCATTACCTTACTCACTTTTTCCATTTTTCTGTAGTTTCTCTTCAGAATGGGTTTTTGGCTTGGGAAGGATGGTCGGTTTTGAGAGTTCATGGAGGCTGGACTGCTTCCTCCTGACTGAAGGTCACCCTTGTCTAGTACTGGAAGGAGCAGAGCCGAGTTTTGTGTGCTACTGCTTTTCCTATTGAGTACCTGCTGGCTGTTTGGGCTTCTCTTATTCTCAGATCTGTCATGACCTTGCCGCTTCTTTTTTTTTTCCTTTGCCTCGCCCAGACCCTGCTATCTTGTAGACCTTGTGTCTTTTAGGGGTTTGTCCCTGCCTGTTTATATCTTAGAGAACCCTGGTGGTGCAGGAGTTAGTTCCAATTCAGGAAGAAGAAGAAGAAATCTTGGGGTTTTGTGCCTTTCAGCTGAGATTTGTAGTATATGTTGTCTCACTAGTTTTTAGTTTTGCAGTGTAGTTTTGCCTGTCTTTATCTATGTTGGTGTTCTGCCAAGTGTCCCAGTCAAAAAAGTGTTTTTCTTATTTCCCCCCCCCTTATTTATGATACATAGTATTCCATTTCAGTCTGTTTTTCATGAAAGTGCTTGAGAAAGTGGAAGCTCTCCAAGCTCTGTGCTGTAATGCTCAGGTGGATGGTTCATTCAGCAGCTAGTCCATGTGCTCTGCTCTGCCTTGTCACAAGCCCACACAGATGCTGTGGGTGCTGTGGTGACAGACCTGTCACAGAGAGGCATTCCCTACATGAGAAGTGTCACATTTGGGAAACACAGGGTCCCCTGGGGACGTGAAATGCCTCTAACTTCCTTTGGGAGTTGGGGAACACTTGTTCACAGAAGTCATCGAAGTTAAGGCCTAAAGGAGTAGGTGACCGTGGGATTGAAAAGGCCTAGATCAAGAGTAGGAAAACAAGAATTTAAGAAGGTAGTGGGTGGAGGGAGAGGGTAAAGGAAATGGAAAGATCCGGCAGGGTCCCGAAAAGACAAAATAATAGCAGGCATAGTCCAGTAGTGATTTACTTTTATAAAACACAATGTATGGGAATGATTGTATGAAACATAATGTCAGTGGAGGGAAGGGGGGATCTGCATAATAAAAAGATTAAAAATATTAAGAATAAGTTTATATTTACCTACTTCTGTCAAGTCTGTTCTGACTCAAAGTCATTTCTGAAACTGAATTTTTATGAGACTGCCCACCTTTGCTGTGTGGAGTAGCTGGCGGATTGAAACTTCTGACATTTGGTTACAGCATAGTACGTTATGTATTACACCAGCAGGACTTCTTTAATGTTTGTTGTTGCGTTTGTGTGCTGTTAGATTGGAGCTCACTCATAGCTGACCCCTCAGTGGGTTTTCAAAGATTGTAAATCACACAGGAAGAGATTGCCTGTCTTTGTTTCATGGAGCACCTGGCAGATTAGAACCACACACCTTTGGGTTAGCAGCACAACTCTTTACCCACTAGGCCACCAGAGCTCCCTTTAATATTTCACTGAAGCTGGTAACAAAGCAATGACAGAAAGTCAATATGAAGACTATAAATTGGCCTAAGATAATAGGAAAAAAATGCTATTTTTCTCAGCCATTGAAGTGGAAATTTGACTATGGGCATGACAAAGGGCTAGAAGGTTTTAAGAACTGGCAGAAAAGTAATGAATGGCTTAGTGCATTAGTGCACCTATAATATATATATTTCAGTGTAGATAGATATTGTCTCCATTTTTGCTACCGTTGACTCATCCCAAATATCAAAATAAGAGCGATAACAGGGAGGATGCTTTTGTGTGTGTTTTGTAATTACTTACAATGCTTTATAGATCTTTGACTCACTCACTCACTGCTAAGGGTTCTGACTCCTGGCGACCCTCTAGGGGATTTCTGAGCCTGTAAATCTTATGGGGAGGACACTGCCCGTCTTTCTCTTGAGGAGCCACTGGTGGATCCAAACTGCCAGAAACCTGTAGCCTTTGACTTAGCACCATAAGACCCCACGGAATACACCAGAGCTCTTCATCGATCCTTACGATACTAAAATATAAGGGCTCATTTATGTATCCCCTTAGAGTCATTCTTAGCATATTTTTTATGACATATTGCAGTGAATACAGTGATTTACCACAGGCATTTTTAAAGTGTTGTCTGATTAGTTTTCTTTGGACAGGTAAACGAAATCTAATGTTTTGTATCGTGAATGTGAGAGTTCAAGTAGGTGGAATGTCTGTGTGCCTGAGCTTGGAGAAGCAGGTGGGCCCCCAGTTTGAATGTTAGCACTGACAGAGGTTGAGAGCCGGTGTCCGAGGTTTCCCACAAAAGGTTTCCTGCATCTGCTGTGTGCTGCTGATAAGAATCCTGCCTTTCAGCCTTTTGTTTATCTGAGGAAATTCCTGTTAGGTGTGTGCACATTCCCCTTTGTTTTCAGCATTGGCCCTAGTGAGTGGGCCACAGGAACCTCAGACAACACTTCTCTCAGCAAATGCCTTTTGCACATGGGGATATGTTCCTGTGTGTGGCTAAGATGGGCATAATAAGTGGACCAAAGCCTGTCGGCCACTATTAAGTAGACGGAAAAATTTTTCAGTTAATGACAAGGTATTTAATTTATAAAAAGAACATCTGTATTTCATAATCTCGACATAAGACAGTTTGCACGTGTCCATCGAAAAGCTAAAGCACAGACCTTGAGCGCTTAGATTCTCACTTTCACGATGCAAAATATTATTCGATTTCTTTGACCTGTATTTATAATAAATTTGACAAAGTCTGATTAAATTTGAAGAGGCCTTTGAAGTGGCTAGTCACTGTAGTAATTAGCTGATGAGTTTTATTTTTCATTTTTTTATAGTGTCAGTACTTTCCTTTTGGGACATTCACTGTTTACAAAGCTACAAGTATATTGCTGTTGTAGTTGTTAGATGCCACTGAGTTGACTGCTACTGAGAGTGATCCAAAGAACCACAGATCTGAGCCCTGTCCTACCCGGCACTATCCTCAGCCTCTCTGATCTGCTCTCGCCCACTGTTAAGCGTTAACGGTGTCAGTCCGTCTTACTGAGCGTCTTTCTCTCTTTCTCTGTCTCAAATACTGGGCCCTCCTGACAGCCTGACTAGAGCCTGTGAGATGAAGTTTCACCATCTTTGCCCTCAAGGAGCACCTGGGTTGCACACACTTACATTTTTGTTGTTGTGTACTGTTGAGTCAGAACCGACTCATAGCTGACCCTCCAGCAGTTTTTGATGAGGCTGTAACATCTTTCTCCCGTATAGCAGCTAGTAGAGTCAAACCTTGTACCTTTATGCTGGTATCGCAGTTCTTTACCACTAAGCCACCAGAGGTCCAAGTTAAAAACAGAAGAAAGTTTATTAAGAAAGAGAACTTACACATGAGTCTGGTGTGTTGTTATTCAGTTAACTCACTTCCACTGCCACTGTGAAGCCAGAGCTGTGCCCCCGGAGCAGCCTCACAGCCGGGAGTTGCCCTTTGAGCCAGGAAAGCTGTGCAAGGCCTTTGATTCCTGGCCTCCTGTCAGGAAATGAGTTGGGGGAAAATTAACATCACATCTCTCACTTGTGTCAAAGAACAGTAAATAATATTTTTCAACTATTAGTGATAATTACCTTTTATTTGTTTGGCCAATAGGGACTTTTTTCTCTTGGAAAATGTCTAGTGTTTTGCTTCACAGTTTTGTTTTGGAAAATGCGTTACTAGAATAAGGTGGATTTTATGACTTGGATTGGAGGTTCGAATCTACAAGTGGCTCCACAGCAAAGGGTTAGCAATCTTGGGGGCAGAATGATTAAAAGATAGGCTACGAAACAATAAACAGTTTATTTTGTTTATTTGAGCCCACCAGCTGTTCACGGGTGAAAGACCTGGTAATCATTCCCATAAAGCTTAGAAAACCTTGTGTGGTGTGGAGTTACATAGTCCACTTATAGCACCTAACAGCAATAATAATAATACCACTACATACATGGATAAATATTTGTGTAAGAAAAAGTACTATTTAAGAAAAATGTCACAAATGTTTTTATTGTATGGAATAAAACAGAATACTCGATTGCTTTAAAACCTTTTAATCTTTAAGTTTGATTTTAGCAAAAATTTCTCATTGCAGGCCTTTGAAGACCTCAGCAAGCTCATGATCAAGGTATATACATTCTTTACACTGTTAAAGGCATCCAAATTATGCAGTTTTGAAAATACATTTTCTTAACTGACTCTGAAAACATTTCTAAAAGAGGTCTTTGTTTTTTTCTTGACAGGCTAAGGAGATGGTAGAGTTATCAAAATCAATTGCTAATAAAATAAAAGACAAACAAGGTGACATCACAGAAGATGAGGTAAATACTTGACTTTGTTAAGGTCTGAGAAAGTACACTTTAAAAGGAGAAACTAGATTATATAAATAGCGCAGTGATGTTCTGGTGGTTTACTAGTTTTCATCCTTAATAGAGAGGTTTTTTTTCCTTTAAGACTTGAGGATAAATTAAAGTGCTAAAGACAGTGTCATCCGTAATAACTTTTTTAAGGTCTGGTGGGATTAATTTATCACTTTCTTGTGAAATACAGAAAACCTGTAGTGAAAGGGGAAAAAGGTAGCTGTTTTCTATACACCCATACCTTTTGTCTTTTATTAAATTTGTTTACAGTCTGATCACAGCCTTTTTGTCCATCCCTTTTGTAGATTTTAAATTGCATCATTTGGCTGGCATTAAATGTAGCATAATTGTTATCTAAATCTCTGGCATCAAAACTTGTAAGGGAAGTGGAGTATGAGATGCCAAGATAATAGAAGAATAATAATTAGATTTATGCAAGGAGCTACTAGAATTCTGCTTTATTAGAGTTCATAGCATAGAAATACAGTAGGAAAAGTGAGTCTGTAGAAATATGAGGTAGAATTAAAGCTTTGATGGAAGGATTAGAACTGTTGGAAGAGGGAGCACTGATTCTTCATAGTCTCTTTGTGCGTTCTCTCCTATCTCATAGACCATCAGGTTTAAATCCTACTTGTTGAGCATGGGGATAGCTAACCCCGTTACCAGGGAGACCTACGGCTCAGGCACCCAGTACCACATGCAGCTGGCCAAACAGTTGGTTGGAATACTGCAGGTGCCTTTAGAGGTAAGGACCAAACCTAAATGTTTGAAAATGAATGTTATCAGAAATGTTAACAAAAGCACAACTTTCATAGTGGATGCTAGTTTTTCTTCTTGTTATGTGCTGTCAAGTCACCTGTGACTCATAGTGACCCTATGACAACAGCTCTGAACCCTGCTCTGTCCTGAGCCTTATTGTCTCTGACACACCTACCCCCATTACCACAGTCATTGAGTCAATCCATCCCATCAAGGGTCTTCCTCTCTTGCGCTGTCCCTCCACTTTTCCAAGCATGATGTCCCTCTCCAAGGACTGATCCCTCCATGCCCGAAATATGTCAGACGGAGCTTCAGAATCCTTGCCTCCAAGGAGATGCCTGGCTTCACTCTCTCCTGGACCAACCTGTTTGTTCTCCTAGCAGCCCAAGGTATATTCAGTACTCTTCTCCACCTCAAAGGCATCAACTCTCCTTCTGTCATCCCTAGTCATTGACCAGCTTTCTGATGCATAGCACATAATTGTGAAGACCATGGCCTGTATCAGGTCCACCTTAGTCAGGTTTTTACGTTATTTTGATGTATTTATTAATGATTTTTTGTTGTTGTTTTTTTGCTAGTAATCTAGATTATTTTCAGCTCCTATTTTAAGTAGCTATAATTTCTGAACTCTGTCACATAGTAAGTTTTTAATTATTTCTTAATTTCAAGAATAAAATATACTTTTATACACACATACATATATATACAGAGAAACAACCTCACTTCATTTGTAAATATTTAAGTATAATTATGAAAGGTAAAGATTCCCTCAAATATAGCTATAAATTCATTTTCGTACCTAAAGTGTGTCGGAGGCAATGAGATTGGCACAGGACAGAGCAGAGTTTAGAGCTGTTGTACATAGAGTCGCTATGAGTCGCAAGCGACTCGACGGCACATAACAACAACAACAACAAAAAGTAATTTCACATTTTCTCATATGGTTGGTTGGTTCAGATCAGGACACGTTGTTGTTGTTAGGTGCTGTTGAGCCAAGTACGACTTACAGCAACCCTGTGAACAATAGATCTGAACCCTGACGTGTCCTGTGCCAGCCTCACAGTATCTGACACACTCAAGCCATCGCTGCAGTCACTGTGTCAGTCCACCTGGTTGAGGGTCTTCCTCTCTTTCATAGGACACACTCCTGTTAATTAATTTGTAAGAGGTGGTCTTTCTTGATGCGTATGGTGATGTCAAGCTTTACCTAGATTAATCATTTCTTTTGTGGCTACAAATGCTACTATTTTTATTTAAGTTTGTAGTTTCTTCTTCATTTATTAACTTGAATAACTTAAAAATTATAAATACACTAGAAGGTTGGTATGAAGCTCCTCTTTTCATTGTGATCATTTAAATGTTAAGACAATAATAAGGACAATAATAATGATGTTAAACACTGCTTTTGAAATCTCTCATGTCATCTGCATATGTTTCCTTGTATATAGATGTTGGTTTTCAAAACATAATGTTCTGAAATCTGGTAAGAAATGCTTACTTAACCTCTCTGAGATCCTCAGCTTAAAAAGAAGGAATGGTAACAGAATTCTTTTTCTTTTCCTTTTGACAGGAACGAGGGGGAATAATGTCACTTACAGAGGTGTACTGCTTAGTTAACCGTGCTCGAGGAATGGAAGTAAGAATAGAACATTGAGATATTCTTTTACTTAGACATTCTTGCTATAATACTGATTACCCTGCAGTAAGCACAGTTTGAGGAAGGAGCGTGGATATCAAGGTTATTTTGAGAAGCAGTGCGGTGCAGTGCAGCAACGCTGCCCTTGGGTGCAAGCGGCCGATTCTGTTCCTAGCTTTGCCAGTGGGTTGCGGAGTGATCCGGAACCGCTTTCTTGACTCCCTGAGATTCTTAGCTCGCTCACACTCCTTGCTGTCCTGTCAGAACTGACTCAGAGCCTGCAACAAGAGGCTGTAAATTGTATGGGAGATAATCACTAGTCTTTTCCTGTGGTAGATTTGAACTACCTTTGAGTTGATGGTACAACTCATTGCACAACGGGAATAGTTTGCTCCTTTCTTACTCTTCTTTACCTTGTGGTGACTAAACCACTTAACCTCCTTTGGTAGATGGTAGTGTTTTTATTTCCTCTCTGTTTGGTAATCATTATAATTTTATAGCATCAGTTTATTAAATTGCAGTGTAAACTGAATTTTCTCCCCAATAGTTGCTCTCACCGGAAGATTTGGTGAACGCATGCAAAATGCTGGATGCGCTGAAATTACCTCTCAGGTAAGGGAACCTTCACTTGAAATTACCTCTCAGGTAAGGGAACCCTCACAAGAGGCTCCAGCTGCTGTCATGATCCGTTCAGGATAGAAAAGCGCCCCCAGATTTGCTGTCCTGGGTGGTGAACCCACAGACTGTCGTTCTGTTATTCTGTGTGTCGTCACCTGGCCCTGTTGTTCTGGCTTCCATTGCTCTCAGAGCCCATTGGGCATTGGTAGTCAGACATGGCTGACTGAGACAGTGAGATGGGAATGTGAGGTCAGAATAATCAGCCCCTCGTCCTTTACACATTTCATCGTCAGCGTCAGGAGACTTGGGAATGTTCAACTGGGAGTTAGACTCTCCTTATCCTCGGGGGCAAAAAGTAACCAGACGTGCTTTGTGCAGCATTTGGACGCCTTAATTAGACTACTTACTCATGTGTTTTTAAATTAGGCCATAATTGCTCTTAGTTGTTAAGATTTAAATATTTGTGTTAATTATTTTCTTCCACATCTGGGCGTAAGAGAAAGTGAAAGTATTTGCTTCCCCTAGCAGTCAGTTGTGTCACCGGCTCTATCAGCTGTGACCATTGAGGCCGTTCCAGGTCATGTCCACCCTACAGGACAGAGCCAGCCAGCGGCTGTTTCATCGCTCGCTCTCCCGTCTGCCTTTCAGGCTCCGAGTTTTTGACAGTGGTGTCATGGTCATTGAGCTTCAGTCCCACAAGGAAGAGGAAATGGTGGCCTCGGCCCTGGAGACGGTATGTGAGCGCCTTTGTCCCAGTCAGCCGAGCTCCCAAGAAGGACTTGAATGCTTAGCAACCCAAGGATTTCCTTTGGATTTTCATTTCACGCAAAAGAGTGCTTATATAATTAGTTAAAAATGGTTTATAATTCGCTATTAGTAAATATTCATCAAAATAATTATATTTGGAAGCTCTTTTGAAACATTATTGTTTTAAATATTTTATTATAAAAAACTTACTGACATTGTTACTTAACTCAAACTCATGATTTATATATTTTCAATGTAGTTGTTTCCAGGGTACAAATAAGAGGAGAAGACTGACTCTCCTTCTCCTTCAGTGCCGCTGGTGGATTTGAACCTCCAGAGACATGAGGCCTTTTGATTAGCAGCACAGCACGCATTGGACTCTGCCTCCAGAGCTCTTACGAGTAGCTGTGAAATTGGTTCTGACTTGTGGACACCTTAGGTATAACAGAGAGAAACATGGCCCTGACCTGCCACATCCTCTGCAAATGTAAATAATGAGACATGAAGCTTCGTGTTGAGAACAGATTTTTAACTTTTCAAATCAATATTAGACATAATCAAACTTTTTCTTTTAAGAAAACTTCACTACATGTTAGCATTATAAAGCATTGCAGATTATTTTTATGACATAGTTGTTTATAAAAACATATGAAAAACAACTTTTTATTGGCACACCTGCTGACATTACTCATTAGGATTCTTGGAAGTTTTACTGCCTTTATAAGTCTCTAGATCATTTGAATAACTTGCGTTTATTGTCCTTCTGATTTTATACTAGACTAGGTGGAAAAAACTCAGGTGTTTCTAACTGTTTCTAACTATCTGTAACTATATGCTCCTGTAGAATTAACTGCCTCTGAAAACCCACCAGAGAGTCCTTTGTCAGTTGGTTCTGACTCGACAGTACACAACAACAATAAATTGTTAGGAATCCTGGTGAAGAGGTGGCTAAAGTGCTGCAGAGTGCTAACTGAAAGGTTATTGATTCAAATTCACTAGTTGCTCCATGAGAAAGATTTTCAGCGTCCGAAACCCTGCAGGGCAGTTCTGCTCTGTCCTGTAAGGTTGCTGAGAGTTGTATTTGCCTTAATGGCAGTGGATTTCTAGTACAATTTGAAACATTTTCTTTTTTTTTTTATTATTTTTTGTGTGAGTGTACCGTCAAATCAGATCTGACTGGTACAGGAGGAGATTGTCCCTCCTTCCCCAGCAGAGCATCTGGTGGCTTCGAACCATGTGCCTCTGGGATTGTAGTTGTAGCTGCTTACCACTAGGCCACCAGAGCTCCCCTAATTTGAAACATTTTAAAAGGCTTTGATATTTTAGCCTCTTAAGATATTTGTTCTGGAGAGAGCTCTGGTAGCCTGGTGGCAAGAAGCTGTGCTGCAGTCTTGAAGGCACACAGTTCAAATCCACCAGCTGCTATGTGGGAGAAGGATGGGCAGTCTCCTCCCGTCCGATTAAAACTGCCTCTGAAAACCTGCCAGAGGGTCTGCTGTGGGTTAGTTCTCACTATATGGCACACACCAACAACAGCTTATTTTTTTCTGGATCTTTCAAATTTTAATAGAATTTAAACATTAGTGAAGAAGATTTATTTCAATCTTGAATTTTCTTTGGATTTTAGTACCAATTTCAGAAAATTATTTTGTACACATACTGGTAGATGTCCTCTAGGGTAGATGCACCCACATGTCCTTCAATCATCACTTTTTTCTGCTGCTGTTAGGTTTCAGAAAAAGGATCCTTAACATCAGAGGAGTTTGCCAAGCTTGTGGGAATGTCTGTCCTTCTTGCCAAAGAAAGGTAAGGAGGGCCTTGGTTACCACTTGTGTTTATGCTTCCGAGTGGCCGGTCATTGTGACCTTTTCTCCCTCCTTTGTGCCTAGGTTGCTTCTTGCAGAGAAGATGGGCCACCTTTGCCGAGATGACTCCGTGGAAGGCTTGCGGTTTTATCCAAATTTATTTATGACACAGAGCTAAGCATTTTGTACTTGAAATTCTTCCCATTCATACATTTACATCATATAGCAGTTATATGATAACTGAGCTGAAAGATAAACACTGATCAACTTGGAACTTACTGGGATTTTACTATTTAATTAGGGTTCCGGGACTCTTACGTAGGTTAAATCTGGAGAAACACAGGAAAAGTAATGTCAGTGTGGATTTAAGATCATGTTGTCTACAGACCATATTTAACTTCAAATGTGGATTTTTAACTTGATCCTTAACTCTATTCTCAAAGAAAGAACTTTAGGTGATAAGGGAAGGAAAGGAGAGGCTGCATGCTATGATCATTACTGTGGCGTGACTAAGATTCTGTGAAAAATAAAAGACGTTTCTGTGTATCTGATGTTCCTATTTGGGAGGTCTTAATAAAACAAGGCAGATCAACAGTACAGTTTTAGGAAGAAAATATCCAACCCCATAATGTGGCATCAGGGCCCTCCTGAGGGCTTTTAGAGACAGTCACAGGCATGCCTCCAGCAGACCAGATAAAGCACCGTTCAGGAGGAGATAATTTTTATTTGATTTATGTAAATGGAACAGGATTTATTTCTTTTTTCAAAGATGTGATTTCATGACTGGCATTTAAAGAATGCAGTTATGTCATTAGGTTTCCAAAATGCTGTGGGCTTTGAACCTGAACTTAAAAAGCTGTCCAGACTTGCCTGAAAATGGGATTACAAATTCAGGAGGTAGACGGCCTCGACATTCTCTGGGATTGTTGTGGGAGTGCAGGGGCCCAGGTCGAGTGCTCTTTTCCCTGGAAGCTGAGGATGAGGAACCACAAAGAAGTAATGAGTCTCCTTTTCTCTTAAAGGAGTTTCACCACTGAACTTTTTTTTCTACCCACTGAACTTTTAAAAATCCATTTTTCATATGCCAACAATATTTTCCTTTTGTTCTTTGTCCTATTAAAAGTTATGTCCTATTATAAGTAATGAAAAAGACCACAGAGATAACATAAACTGGCTAATACTGCTTAAGTTTTAAAGTAGGCCTCATATGGTGGAGCTGTACAGCATGCAGTATGTTAGCATTACCTCAGCCGGACTCAGGGACCCCTTGGCACAGAAAGTCTCCCTTTCTGAGACTGAGTTGGAAGTGGAAGCCTGGTGATGGTTCTTGGATTCGTTCAAGACCTGGAGGGTGACATACACCTGTTTAGAGCACTGGAACTAGGAGGGATGTATCTAGGTTCACATCCTCAAACACCCAAGGGAACTGGCAGGCCACCACCAGCGGCTGCTATAGATGCCTTTAGGGGAATCTTGGGGATGCTTATCTACAGATCCAGGCAATCCTTTCACGTGCCGCCTTCATCTGTCCCTGAGCCTTACCTGAAACGTGATTGTTACCACTGAACATTTTCCAGTGTTAGCAGGATTGATGTAGCTGTGGTTTTGAAGCTACCTTTGCAAAACCTGTCACTGATTATTCACTGGGTTGAAAGTCTCTAAGTTAGCCCCATGGCACAGCCTGAAGTTTGGGGATAATGCAGTGTCTGCCTGTCCAAGACTTAGTTGGGCCTTTGTGTGCATGTGTTGTATATGCCACTCCTTGTCTGTGGGCATCGTTTACTTTCATATACATACACGTGCAGACAGACATACACATATGCACTGTCTCCCTCAGATGCTCACATAGCATCTTATCTGTCTCGGGTTGTAAAAAGTACAAGGATAAAAATGTTTTACTGTTTAAGATAAATTACAATTAAAGTTGTTTGAACTGCTGGTTCTAGCTCTCGATTTGAATTTGTTTCAGCAAGTCCAAATAATTTAGCATGTATATATATATATATATATATTTTTTTTTTTTTTGGTCTACTTAGTGTGACATCAGATTAACAAATCTAGCACAATCATAATTGTACAAGGCATACAAGGTGAAAGAAAAGTGACATGAAAGATTTTGCAGATGTCCTATTTATTTTTTAAAAAGTATGATTAAGTTTATTATTTTATTTTATTTTGACCTGAGCATTTTTCAGTTTCCAGATTTGCATACTTATTTCTAGCTCTCCTTGCCCCAGTAAAGATGCTATTTTCTTTCTACTATGGGTAGAAGTTAAGTTTAAGTATAATCAGGCCCTAAGTGCCAAAAAATGTCTGTCTTGGTGCTTATACTTGCTGTAATGATTATTTTTGCTTCCCTATCTTTGCTTTTAAGCACATAAATCTGTTTCTAGTTTTATGATAATGGAATATTTCTAGTCACTTATCAAGACAATTTTTATGTTGTATAATTAAAAATTGTTTTCAGTGTTAAATGGTTGGTATTCATACACACATACACATAGGAAACTTACTGCAAAATTAAGAAAAGTTTTTTTTAACATGTTGTTCCTTTAAAATAGTTTTTTAAAAGAGTTCTTTTTGAAAATCATAAATCTCAAAGTCAGAATAAGCCAGTAAGTGAAGTTTTTTTTTCTCTTTGTCTTTATAATCAAGAATTAACTGTGAATATTTATGATTTCAAGCTCTTATCATTTTAGTAACCTTAAAAGAATCTGCTCCTGAACCACAGTTAGTAACGTGGACTCCCCGCTGACTGTGTTAACCCTTTGTGTAAATGTGCTTGTTCCCAGCTTGTTACTGATCGGACCAGAACTTGGGTTCGTTGTTGAGCATCATTTTCGTGCTCAAGTTGTTAAGTGGGTTTTCCTTTGTTAAACAATCTCAGTCTTCATTTTGGTACATTGGAAGCAGAACTTAAAATGTGGTTAGGTTAGACTTTGAATTAGGACAACATTTTGAACATGCTCAGAATTATCCTTGAAAATCTCTTAAATTGCCAATAAAGTTCAATATGTAGTCTTGTGATTACATCTGTTGTGGAATGGTATGTGGTGGCAATGAATATATTAAGAATATAGGAAGGTCAATTTTAATAAAAACCATTATCACCAGTAGACTCTATTAATGCTAGAGCATTAATAATTAAACTATTTAAATAATTACGTAGTTTAAATGTGTATTATCTTTTTCCCCTGATAGTTATAGATGAATTTATGTAAATATGTTCTAATCCTATCCCATTCTGACATGAATTTAGAATGTAAGTCTATAAGACAGAGCTTTTTATCCAGTTCATGAATTTCATCCTCAGAGCCTAAAACAGGGCTGGGCACATACAATAAACCATCAATAAATATTTCCTGGATAAAAGCTGATCTGTATGCTTTTTTATTCTGGCTTTTTCTTTTATTAAATAAATTAAAACCAACTTTTAAAAAAAAAAAACATAACTTCGAGTGAAGACTTGTGGGCCACTGGGGAAGGAGAGATTAAGACAGAGCATCTGCCCCTCACAAGAGAGGAAATAGATACATGTGCATCTGTAATTGAAGGTGGGGTGAAACGCTTGTGCCATGGAATGGACACAAGTATGTGTGCACCTGTAATTGAAGACGGGGTGAAACGCTTGTGCCATGGCAAGGACACAAGTAATGTATTGTCGGAGGTGGGGGAAGTTCTGATGGGAGGATCAGGGAAGGCTTTGGGGGAGAGCGGCCTTGTACGTTAGACTCTCACTAGGTTATGAGTAGGTGGAAAATCCTTCTGTTACATCATGACTTACTTTACCAGACAAACCCATGGCGGTCCTTGACCCTCTTCTCCAGAGGCTTTAACAGAATTATCATGTCAGTCCTGAGATCTACTTTCTGTTCAACTTCTGTTGTATCTGTGATGTTGGAAACACACCAGAAAAGTAAAACTCATGTGAGATCTTGTCATTCTTGTACGCTGCTATTACAGTGTGAAAACTGGGTCATTCGTGTTTTTCCTTGCGTCCTAATACTCATGAGTCAGCTCTAACTTTTTTACGTAAGGAAAAAACCCATCCCCATTTGTATAAAGAAAACTGAGATCATGTATAAATTTTGCCCAATTTTTCCGAAGATCACACAATCTGCACGAGACCAGGAATTGACCTAGAATGAGAAGTCCAGGTATCTTGACAGCCAGCTTGGTTTTAGTCCAATATTCACAAGACCATATGTTTACTACTATTCTGGTGGAACACTTCACTAGTCCTGCACTCCTCAATCACCTTCTTTTAGAAAAGAAGTGCTCTATCTAGTAAAGTCAGTTGTGTATTTTGGCAGGTACACTAAGCAAACGTGACCTGCTATCTTAATAATGATGTGATTTAAAAAATGGCCAAGTAGGATGATTCAGAAGAGCTCTGGTGCCTTCAAAGAGAAAGTCACCTAACTCAGGCAGCTCAAATCTTCCCGTGACCCCTTGGGAGAAAGATGGGTGGTCTCCTCCAGTTAAGATGTACAGACTAAAAAACCCAGTAGAGGGTGGCTAGGGGTAGGCATCAAGCTGATGACGGTGGAAACGATTGATTCAGCTCCTTGTACTTAGAGTGAGTCCCACCCTCAAGAGTGGCTTTTTGTGAAGTCTGTGGGGGATTAAAGTGGCTTTCTTTATGTTGTCAATCACCACATAGTCAGGCGCACTTTAGTCTCCAGCCTGACGTCGTTGCACTTCAGTACTCTTGATACTAATTTTAAAATTATTAGAAAATTAGGTACCTCTGTTAATACGCAAGTGAATATTTGTGCTTGGTTTTGAAAGATGAAGTGATCAAAGGACCAGAAAATGCTATGTATTTAAAATGTTTAAAGGTTGAACTTACAGTGCAATGCACAGATGTTCAACTGGATGAGTTTTGACAAGAGTATAGTAAATACATGTAACTCCAAACACCCGCCATCACACCTCTGACACCAGTGTCACCAGAGGTTGGCAATTGGAAGCCTCCCCAGATGCATCTCAGAAGGTGCTGTTTCTGAAAGGGAGCAGCCGTGAAACCCTTAAGGATCTCTTCTGTACCTGTGGGGTCGCCAGGGGTCCCAATCTACAGCAACCAAGAAGAAGTTAATTTTCATTTCACAACTCCAGGTGTTGTGCCATTGAGTTGTTTGCAACTCAGTGACCATATATATGTACAATAAATCTGAACCCTGCTCTGTCTTGAGCCAATATCATTGCCTCCGGCATTACCCCAGTCACTGAGTCAATCCATCTCATCCAGGGTCTTCCTCTCTTGCTCTATTCCTCCATCCTTCCAAGCATGATCCCCTTCTCCAAGGACTAGTCCCTCCCGACCATGTGCCCAAAGTATGTCAGATGCACCTTCAAAATCCTTGCCTGGTTTCACCTTTAGGACAAACCTGTTTGTTCTCTTAGCAATCCATTGTATGTTCAAGACTTCTCCAACACCCTAATTCAAAGGCATAGATTTTTCTGTTATCCTTACTCATTGTCTAGCTCTCTGATGGATCAGGTATACCTTACTCCTTAGATTGACATCGTTGCTCTTCAGTACTCTGGAGATGTCCATGACAGCAGATTTTCCCAATGCAATTCGTCTTTTGATTTCCTGGCTGCTGGTACTAAAAGAGTATTGATTGTGGAGCCAAACAAGCTGAAGCTGTTAGTCTCTATCATTATGCTGCCAATTGGCATAAAAGTGCTTTTTTTCCTATTTTCCTTATAGAAAATAGTGAACTCGTAAATGACGTTTGGGAAAACAAGTTTACAGCTTGTACATTATGCCACTGCAATGACAGGTTTTTAAGTCGTCTAGAAGAAACGACTAGGGAGAAGGGATTGAAGCCAGGGTCCGGGGCGTGTGCCCGCCCAGGTTGCCCGCTTCCCGGCCGGCTGGCGGGCTGGACACGTTTCCGGCCAGTTTCCTGTCCGGCGGCGGCCGCGCCCGGGGCCGGCGGG